TTTTCCAATATAGCGGACTTTAAAAAGCCATTAATGTGTGTAACGCTCAGATGGAATTAGTAGAAGCGCTCACGTTTTTATATTCGACGGAGGAAATCCATCTTGGCTTCTTCGTAAGAAATGGAGATACGTACGTACTATGGTAACTTAATTAGGTGGTGGTGTTTTCACGGAACACCTCCTGTTAATCTGGTTCTTGCGAAGATCTCGTAGCTATATGTTTGCAAGGAACGCATTGCGTATTCTAATCAGGGACAACTATTAATGTCTCACGCTCCTACTTATGGAAATGCTCAACCCGATCGAGATGCCATTACTTACTTTGTGACGTCAGAGCGAGGCTAGCGTTTCCTGTTCAGTTAGATACACTTGAGATTGAATTCGTGAATGAGACGCAGATCTTAAATAAGATCAATAACTTATTACAGATTCGTCGTCATCATCATCATCTCACTCTACTTCTGAAAGCTGTGGTACCGAAAGTCTTGTGACTGTTACTCTAGAAGTTTCGGTTTCGATTCTTAGTCCGGAGATCGAATATATGGATGATGGTGATTTTGTGGTTTTCCTCAAAATCTCCACGCAGATGCTGGGATAGTACCTTAAAATTAGCACACGACTGCTTTCCTTCACATCTTTCTTAATCATTATCACATTCGACGTTGTAAATATATTCAGTTGATAAACAGTCGTTAAATTAAGGAGAAGACCTTTTACGTGTTCGCGTATCTCGTTGTTATCAAGATTCGTAGTTGCATGCATTTCTTAAAAACTGCCTGATCTGTTTCAATAGGAAATTTCCAACAAATGGGATTTCTAAACTTGTAAAACGCTTTAAGATGGTCATTTACACTCGAGCGAACTGCCTTGTACAGTGCTGATATGTCATTTTTATTGAGGAATGAAATATTGGCTGTATCTGTTCTAGAAAATGGGGTGTGCTTTGTTCGAATAAGACAGATGCCACTATCGTGAATTTTCTCATTTTCGAACTCATGAGATTAATGTTGCTGGTCTTCTGAGATAGGTAATGAACCACCGAAATCCGTAAAATGAGTGGAATTTATTGACCAGGTGAGCGACTATCAGCTTCTCAGAAACTCTTCTGTGGAGTTCGCGAGTAAAGTGGTGCCAGTTCATTCACAGATTTTAAAACTGGAACGTCATGCTGCCAAAAAGGAAATTAACCAGTTAAAAAGATTGTTGAATTTTAACAGACAGACCTAAGTTAGGATTTTTGTCTCTGATCTTTAGCAATGGATGAGATAAAGTGCTTATATGTAGTGTAGACTCCACACCAAGCAAGACAAGTTTACAGTTTGCGTTACAACGAAGGCAATTTCTAGTAATATTGACGTTTGCAATTTCAATAAACAAGTTGCAAGGACCGCGAAATTGGTGTTTCCATATTGCCAACTGCATGTTGCACTAAACAGAACAGGACATGGGAGGAAAAGTTGAAAGTGTTTGTGTAGCACAGCGAAAAAGAAGTAAGTTTCTTAAATGACATCCGATCGTTTACAAGAAATGTTATCACAGCATTGTTATAGGGATGCAGAGTAGGGAATGGATATATAAGGAACTTCCATAGGAGTTTGCACTGAGTCAGGCCTACACCAAGTTTGATAAAGAGCCGTCAGTTGTTTAAGAATGCCGGAGATACACCCACACACGAAAATGGTTCTACATGAGTCTATATATAAATTACGGCTCATTATGTCCTTTCATAAAACAAACGCAAAAAACATACACTTCAAAGCCAGTGCTTACAGAAATCGATGTTGGTCTTCTGAGTTGTAATGCCCTGTGGGCTAGTAGGTACTCGTAGATACCGGCGTTTTGGAGGAACGTAACCTCCTGCTTCCGAAACGTCAGTATCTACCACAGGGCATCAGAACCAATGAAGATCCCGACATTGATATCTTCAGCGACCTGAGAATCTCAGATCTTAATGTTCACATGTCACCTTGACGAAGGAAACAGTTTTGGGCATGCAATGGCTGGTTGAACAAACAATGCACAATGAAGGACTCAGCTATCCTTCGCGTTGTGACACCGCTTACTTATCCAAATTCGGGGTTTGCGGGGTCTTTTTAACACATATGTATTGTAAGCATGTTGTGCATTTTAATTCGCTATAAAAATAAAATATGCGTGCCTAAAGCATTTGAGCTGAAGAACAATAGGTACTTCTAAATATATGCGACATTCGGCGCGTCTATTCTTAGCTTGAGCCAAGATTTCTGCTCCGTGAAACGAGTTGTGTGTGACGGAAGCTCTTTAAGGGTGAATGTTCTAAGTGGTTTATCTGTTTTCAGTTTTGTACTTAGCAGTTTAGAACATTTTAAGTACCGTAAGCCCTACTTTATGATCGTACAATTGATTAGCATTTGATTTAATGTATTTGAAAAACATTAATGCCCCTTTCTCGATATATGTAATGAATTTTCGCTACAATGATGTTCACTACATGGCGTATAGTGGGACAAACTTTACTTTACTTTATGATTAATTATGTATTATTGAACTGAATGATGCACATGTATATAGTAAAGTAAAGTTTGTCCCACTATACGCCATGTAGGCGCTGAGTAGCTGGTAGTTGCTCAGCTAGTCAGCTTTGAAACCCCATGGTTTATTGCCATGTTCACAAGATCCCGCCACTGGACCTTGTCTGTGCCAATTGAACCTAATCCACACTCTCAAACTGTGTTTCTTGGAGTTACATTTTAATATTATCCTACCATCTGCGCCTAGGCTTTCGTATAATTCATTAAATACTCAAGATACCCGTAAACTTATCCGAAATTCGAATCTGATACCTTCAAAATACAGATACATTTCAACTGTCTCTTTCCGTGGTCACATTTGAGCTAATGCACCGGTTTCTATAAATATTATGTATTAACTGCAATTTGAATGAACCATCGGGTATAAAAAGCAACGTACGAAATTAATGGAACGAGAACTGAGTAATTGATCCTTCTTTCCACGCTTTAACCTACCGTAAATATTGACACAGAAGCTTTCCTTTGGTCTCGTAAAGTCAACATGGAGCTGATAACATGCAGATCCATATAATACTTTCATGAAGACTGTGTGTCTGTCCCTCTTTTTTTGCCAAGTTTCCTTCTCGGCTCTGAGTCACTTTGATCTGATGTCCAACTGTTGCGCCAGCAGACTTCGCGTACATGAGAGATTTACCGCTGTCGGAGGCCACGTGCCAGTTTTCAAACTTCGAGGTCCAGTGCAGGTTCTATAGATTTGTCTTCGGTAATCCTGTACCTGCTGTTAGATGCCTGACTAATAAACTCGTAAATACCAGAAAAGAAGTTAAGCGGCGTTGTTAATGAGGCTCTAAGCACGTGCTATTTTGCTATTTGTGATTATCTGACTTGAATGAATTACATGCAGAACAATCTGGACTCTTAGTAATAGCAGAGGTTCTGCAGATGCGGGTTGTTTTATGACATAATTAGACTCTTAGGGAAAATACTCCTTGGGACACCTGGGCGTTGATGGAAGGACAATATTAAAATCTTAAAGAAATGTATTAAAACGAACTATAATTTTACACATTTCTTATGTGTGTGTACCTTGATCTTGTCTCTCGCTCTAAGGGGGAAATATATGCCATATGTTGAAGTGAAAGACTTATAAAAGCTACTTAAAATTCCATGTGTACAATTTCATAGTATCCCTTTACATATGACGGAATTTCTTAGTTATGTAGTCTACTGGCTAAAAGAAGTGATTTTGTAAAACCTGCTAAAGTAATAGGTAAAATATAAATCTGTGGTAACAGTCGGTATCATATGTGGAGATGTTTTCACTAAAGACAATTCAGTAGATGCAAATTATGTCTCAAAGAGAAAGTGGAACATTACCCAATAGTTTATAACGAGAAAAATGTTAATTTTATCATTACTAACTAAACTAACTCCATGGAACAGAATCCTTCTTGAAAGCTAATAGTAGTGTAGCTAGTCAAGAGAATAATTTTTTATGAAACCCGATTACCGTGTTAACAAGGGCCCGTCACCTATCTCTATTCTGAGTCGCCTGAATCTAGTCCACACTTTTCCATTAAGATTAATTTTAACATCTTCTTTCCAACTGTGGCTAGTCTTCCAAGTGGTCTCATTTCGGCAGGTTTTCTAGCGAAAATGAATTTTGTATACCAGGCAATAATTTATAACAACTTAGTATTCTTCTGTTATGCAGTATGTAGGCCTGTCGTATGGAGTATTTAAGGAACACGTGTTATATTATTGAATCACCATTATTAAATGCACAAAGTAAATATGAGAGGCGAAAGTATTTATCAGGAAACCATTTACAGGGTTTTGTGAAGTATGCATATGTGTACGTATTTATGAAGATAAATGGTTTTAAAACAGAACAGATGAGATTAAAAAATATAGAAAAATATTTGAAAACGTTGGCCCTAGAATGTTCTCTGTTAGTGACACATTGTGGAAGACGTATGCTTCTCGCAGAGTAGCAACAAACATAATTATACAATGAAGTAGGTCTATTTAAACATTTGGCACACTTCTCCAAATGACGTGACTTTACACAGTACACCTTTAGAATTTAATTTCTGTAATATTTTTTTTATGAAACTTGATTAAAATGTATTTATGAGAAACACGGCTGACACACACATGTGGCACTGGTCATGTGGAGAGAGATTGACGCTGTATCCGATAGAATAGAGTGTCGACGGAGCAGAAATGAATGAAGAGGTCTAGAAGTTACAAATGAATCGTAATAGGATTTTATGTGTCGAAAATATCTGCGGGAATTATAAACCACATGATTGTATGCTTATGTAAAGTGTATGCATACAGTGGCTCTTGTCATGCTTATATAATAAACGAGTAAGTGTTCTATTTTGAAGTCAACAGCAGATATTTGTGGGTCTGAACTGGGACTCGGGGCGGCGCCGACAGTCTATATGACTTTCAGTTTCAGAACGCAGGCGTTAGAATATTGTTTATTTCTAGACACATATTAATACCTGAGCGCTTGTACTAGGTACAGCACAATAAGTCAGTGGTTTGCTAATACACACTTCTGCTTCAAGACAAGGAAGAGAAACACTGTGAATACTGAATTTTGTTGAACGTCGTTTGTATTAGGACAGTGACAGTGACAGTGAGGCTACAGTGAGCTGGAATCGGACGTGGGAGACAAGAAATGCCTACAAAATTTGGTGGGGAACATGTTTAAAGACTGAACTTTAGAAGCGGTTGAGATAAGACCATAATACAATAACTAGGTGGGAGGTTGTTAACTGAATCAGGACAAATATACACATGCGTGTATCGAAATGTCACATCGTTGCTATATTTGTAATTGTTAACGTATGGAAGAAGTCTCATTTCATGTTTGTAGGAGTATCTGTCTCTCCATGCATTTCCTATGCCCAGCGCCAAGATTTAATTTGGTATCGCTATATTCCTAAAGCTAAATATATGTTTCGCACGGCTGTCATGTTGTTTATTTAAATTACGCAGAAAATTTCTTGAGGGGCGCTGAGTATTTTAGAGGTTTTTTACCACAGACTTTACGGAGCTAATGTCGCTTTCATCTCAGAAGTTCGTACAGCTTCCGTATTATTATATTACGAAATTTAGATATAAAAAGTTGGGGCGGTTCATGGCTATATAATATTTATACAAAGTTTAATGAAAATCCATTAGTTCGTTCAAACGTTATTGCTGGGAGCGATGTGACATTACATGGGCTTAATGCCATAACCTCTCTTCCGTCATAAAATAGGAGAACGGGAAACTTGTGAGGTAAACTTGAATACCATTTCGCATTATAAATTATTATGGTGTTATTAGGATAAAGTAGAAAGGTGGAGTAATTCTTTTGATAAGGGAAGTGAATTGTGAATCAGGGTGTCCTGTACCTGCCGAATCTTTGGCTGCAAGTGATGTTCGCAGAGTTCAACTATAGCACTAATTCCGTGGGATAAACTGTTGAAACGGTTAGTCTGAACTAAAATTTTACGTTATAATACGGATTAATATTATCATAGCTCAACAGTTTACAAGAGGCTTCCTATAAATTGCTGTTTTGTTATAACTACAGGGACATGAACAGGTAATTACACAACAAAGGCGAAGCGTACTTAAAACTTTTACAAATATAACACTCGCTACCGAGTGTACTTGTATGTTCCCGATTCGAACCTCAGTGGAGTTACCGGATTTTCTACTTGAGCTGAATCTCCGTAGCAAAAACAAATTTGACTAAACTGGTTTTACTACGTATCAAAATACAGAGGCAGGAAGCGTTAATGGACAAATATAAACAATAAAAATATTTAGGCCCAAATGCCGATTAAAAGTGTTATGGGGAAATGGTTTAAAAGTTAAACGGAAGGCAAGGAAAATTCAGAGGTGACCGAGCCCACGTGGTTATGGTAGGCGCAATTTAAAGTTATTATTTTATTTATTGCCGTAGATCTCGTGAAGCACACTCAATACGGTTGAATCACCCTGTAATCTCCTTTCTAGTTTCTGCTGAGCGCGCTCTATTCTCAAGAGATTCAGCTTATCCAGATACCAACTTCGGACAAACGCTGTCCACTGAAGCTGTCACATTTGTTGTCTGCCGTTCTAAATTGTGGTTTCCTTTCTTTATTCGTACGCTTGGAACGAGATTATATCAGCTGAAGTTCAGTTTTGAAGTTACAAAGTTTGAAACTTTGCTGAGTTTTAGACCAGTGTTAGTCATAGAAGCTTTCTAAACTTTCTAGCAAATTGAAAAAAAAGTTGCATGATACATACGTGTATTATACTCATAATTTATAATTCTCGGTTACATTGAAATATACATATTTACATTAGCGATATTTGGTGATTTCAGGCGAAGCTGTTACTAAACTTTATACGTTCGTTGTACGAAGAATATAAAATGAACGAGATTTCAGTTAACCTTTTAACGCCCAGTGGTATTAAACCTGGGGTACGCGTACCCCCGGGGGTACGCGAAGACATCTTAAGGGGTACGTGAAATTTAATTTTTTTTTATGATAAACACTGAATAATCAGTAATGTAATTTATTTAATTTATTTTAGATGTAGATTATATGCTATGTATAACTTGAATTATACACCAACAACTTTGGGGGTACAAAGTTGAAGAGAAATTTTATTTGGGGGTACGCGAACAAAAAAGGTTGAATACCACTGGTATATACCACCTGCTTTAACTGGGAGATCTAGTTGTAGAAACAGGAATGCTGATCACTCGGCCATGACGTTTCGTTTAATGTGTTCAAATTTTGAAATTAACACCGAAATTTTTAACAGCGCAGTAAAGAAATCTATAATCGTACTACGACAGATTTTATTTGTCGTGTTTTCAGGCTACCATAGGAAGTGACAAAGTGAAAATATTTCTACGAATAGCTTTATTATTTTGGTGCTGTTCAGTACCTCAGGCGATTAGACACTGCCTTCCAACCGTGAAGGCGTGGGTTTAATCCTAATGCAATTCATGTGGAGATTTATATTGTGCAGTTGCACTGGAGTATGTATTTTCCCGATTACTTCCGTTTTGACCTGTCAGATGTAATCTAATAAATTCTCCTTACTCATCCGTCACGCAACCTGCTGGTGCGTTAGATATTTTCATGACCTATCTTTAGCTACGGCTTCATTTCTGACCTGGTTCTTGGCTGGAACCAAAGCATAGAATGTAATTTGATTTTATATTTAGATTAATTAATATTATTTGAGCTGATTTAATTTACAAATAGGCCTACAACTCAGTATACGACAGATGCCCTGGTTTTTATGGTGTACTGTCTTTTCCATGCATTCGCTGTTATTTTAAACATTGATTTTACAACAATTTGAATATTAAGAAGAGTTTTAAAACAAAATATAGCCAAATAATTTGAGAACAGTGGGCTAATAATGAACACCATTTAATGGCTAGTTTCTGTGCGCGGTTTTTGGTAAATTTCGTTTTCTCTTCGATCCTCCGATCTGAAAAGTCTCCTAACGCCTGTCAAGATAGACGAATCTCATTCGTTGATTTTAGTAACTTTTGTGATAATGTCTTTGGTCCTCTGATCAGAAAAATTTGGAAAACTCCTTCCATGATAGCGGACTTGTAGCTTCGAGCCGACATCTGTGCAAGAAGCTATTCGCAAATTGGAAACGGCACGTTACAGACCGGAACTTGTAAATGAGCTTTGCTGTTGCCGAGGCTGTATTTAATGTCGTAAATGTCAGCTTTACACTTAGAAAATTGTCTGCTGCTAATACTGCTTATTGCCAGTTACGCATATGTGGAAACTACGTGTCCAGGAAAGGGAAAGCATGTTCCATTAATCTACGAAATTAATTTGGGGACCGAAACATTAATGAACGACAGTGAGATATTCCCCACCTGATGTCTTAGAACGTAAATATTGAAATGTACAAGACTACAATTTCCCTTTGTATGGGTTTTCGTATCAAAGTAAGAAAATAGATTAAGGATGTATGAGAAATATTTTAATCAGGAGATTCATAATTTGTTGTATATTGATGAAAGTCATTGGGGCTTGACGTCTGTGAATTAGCCTACAAGCGTGTTACCTCTTCGGAGGATTTTATGAAGCGAATAAGGCCTGAGTGGTTGCAAAAATACCCAACTCTTCAGTTGAGGGCTTTGAAGCAAAAGTCAATAAAATGCAGGCAGCAGCGGCCTTTACAGCCTCAATTCAGTTCCTGCCTGCCGGTCAACAAGCCAGCACAGTCCTCTCCAGATGCTTTGTGGTTTATGCGTCTTTTAAACAAATTTTGCTGTAAGATACTGCCTGTTGTTTTGTATGGGTGTGAAATTTGATCCCTCGCGTTAAGGGAAGAATACAGATTTGGAGTGTTTGGAAACAAGACGCTGAGAACATCCAGACTCCAGAAAGGGAAAGCAACAGAATATCTGAGACCGCTACATAATGACCTCCGCGTAGATGAGAATATAATATTGAAACTGATCTTATTCGTATGACTCGGTATAGGGTCCAATATCGGGCTCTTGTGAACACGGTAATGAGCCTTCGGATTTCATAAAAGGTGAGCAACTTCTTGAGATCCTTTGCTTTCTATGTTTATCGAATTACTCCGATGAATATCTTTTTACTGAGTTGTTTTAAGATGTCCTGAACTGTGGTGACTACTTCAGTTTATGTTATTTGTGCCATAATAACTGAACATAAAGTCATCGATTGAAGTAAATCGAGATTCACGTATGTAAAATTAGATTTTTTATGAAGAATGCTCATTGAAACATGTCGCTAAATAGGAAAACAATAATAAAAACTTGTGATGACTGTGTATTCCACTAAAATTTAATTCTAGATATATCGTAGACATAACTTAGATGCCGAAATATAAAATTGCCGAGGTTGGAGCTTTACCTCCTCTCCCCCCAAGCGGCCTAGAGTGCGTGTAGCGGAACTGCTTTACTTTTTTTAATGCCTAGGTTAAGAATATGTCAAGCTTTACCTCCACTTTTCTTATACACCGTCATGGATGACTTTACCTTTAGATTTTGTCGTTTGAAACACGAAAATCAAATAAAAAGCTGAAATGTGGCCACGGCATACTTTTTCCTATAAAACTGCGGATTAAATCTGACGCTGCCCAAATGGAAAGCGTTAACAAAAGCACATCAATGTCGAGGGGGTAACTGGGAGCTTTTTTTTTTTTACATCTGCTTCTGAAGCGAGTGGTGGTGGGGGAAAACTTGTGCGCCTGCGCACCGTAAAGGAGTGTGAAACTGTTTTGTGGCCAATTCGTGTTAGTGGCGATGTGACTTTGTCTGTGCTAGGCGAGCGAGACAGTGTGTCGTATATACTCGTTCTGCCTGGGATGTGAGGTGCGGACCGTAGGACCGCGTGTGTACGACCTGCTCCAGGCGGGGCCTACACAAGTGGCGAGTTTCCCCTTTTTTATACACTTTGTTTTTGGTACAGGTTAGTTAACTGGATTTTGTAATTTCATCTTAATGAAATTTAGCATTAAATGTGTTGCTATGTAAGATTCTGACGTACAAAAGAAATCAAATTGGCATTTAAGCCAATGCTTTCGAGAGAAAAGTAAAGCTGTGAAATCATAAGAGTTATCACTAATAGTTTAATCCAAACATACAGACACACTAAGTATATATTTTTATAGTGGTAATTGTTTAGTGTTTATTTATATCGCGGAGGGAGATGTTAGCAATGTAAGATTCTTTCTTTACATCACTATGTTTATCTTTCACAATTCAACTTATTTTATGTGGTGAGTTAGATTTTGTAAATAAGTTTTAACGGAATATAGTATTAAATGTTTATCAACGTAAGATTTTGACGTACAAAGTGGAAATTACGAATCAATTCTATGAGACGCTGAGACTTCAAACGAGAAGTGAAAGTGTAAAGGTACACGGAATTGTCATTCATAATGACACTATCAGCGGATAATCTTCAAAACTGGAACTTGTTATGTATAAGCAGAATTTGGTAAAAGATTGTACCCTCGTATTTGTCAGATATGTTCATAAATCATCTTAATTGAACTCCAAAGACAAATATTTATTAATTTTATTCATAATTCACAACATTGAATGGAATAATTTATAAAGTGATAGGTAACGGTAAATCTATTACAGTATAGTCTAATTGACATTTTATAGCCTACGTCTGCAGTCAGCGATGTAGAAACAAAATTGTTTATTAGACATCTGAATTCTGCTTTGTATGGTTAACACAAGTTAAAAAGAATCTGTGTGGCTGAGGTTTCTTAAAAAAAATGTTATTTGAAGTGCCAAATGTATTATATATTATATTAGGCCTATATGGTAATTTGACACACTGAAAAATAACTTTTGCTGTGCAGTGCATATCCTGTGACAGGGTTGTGTTCTTGAAGCGTCGCTTTCAAACACATCATTGTATGAAATGATGAACCCCACTGCAATGATATACGTATTTATTTTTGGATA